GGTTACTTCGGTCACTCTGGTTCTACTGCGGATATCCTCATTTCTAAGTTTGTCACACAGAGAAACCCCGAGCATAGCCCTCCGCATATCTCGTTGAGTGACCTTGAGCGTCCTTATACGGCCAGCAGTGAAGGAACACGTCTCAGTTCCATAAGTCATTATTCGAAACACGTACTGGTTGTAGAGTCTCGTTTTCAGACTTTGGGGTATAGCTGACGAGAAGATGTGTCATAATTTCCCGAACGCTGCCAACCGAGTTGAATTCGTTGATTGACCTGTCAGCCGAAGTTTGACTTACCTAGTTGAAGTATTTGTCCCAGGTAAACGTACTCGTCAACAACTTCGAGCTTAGTTCTCCCAACAACTATCGGCATAGGTGTGACATGGACGTTACACATGAGCTTCAGACAAAAGTCCATGTTCATCTTAAAATAGTATTTAATGTAAGTTATTTAACATTTAAGTTACTTAAGTTCATTTAAAGGTATACCACTGAGAAAATAATGTGAGTGAACTACAAAATTTCATACGATGTGATAATAGTAAGTAAAATAACTAATGTCCTACAAACCAATTTTCGGTCACAGAAGTCAGTATCAGCGGCTACTAACCTTCTGCGCAGGACAGGATTATACTGCTCGAGTGATACTATCCGTTGGGAGGCACTATTAAGGTCATTGAGAATAGTGTTATAGTCCTCCTATCTATCATATCATATCTATCATATCATATCTGCCATAAGGACTATATCGTCGGTAAATTGAAGGTGAGTGGTGTACTCGCCATTGATATTAATATCGAATCCTTTCCACTCATTTGAAAACATCTTCTAATACAGCGGTGCAGAGTATCGGGGATATAACGTCACCCTGTCTTATACCTATCGGCAGTTGGATAGGTTGCGTACTCTGGTTCTGTACTCGGATAGCTACCGTAGCCCTACTGTACAAACACTTTCGATATACCGACAGTAAACTTGGCACCGCCGAAGCGACTGTAGCACCGCTCAAATTTCGGTGGAAGCAAAGGCTTTCTCATAGTCCACATACGCCAGGCAAAGTATCAGGTAGTACTCTTCGGTCTTTATCGGTACAATTGTCCGAAGGGTGTATATGTGGTTATCGACCCTAAAGTCTTTTTGGAAACTAACTTATTCGAGAGGCTGGAAGTCATCGAGTCTGCTTGGGAGACGATTTGTAGTGACCATTCTTAAAGAACAAGACCATCGCACTTCTGCTCCACGTCATAGTAGTAATGCCACCACGGAGGACGTAATTTAGAGCTTCTGAAGGACTTCAAGTACCAGTTTTCCACTCGCTTTCAGAAGCTCCACTGTCTCCATCCTCGCCTGAGAACTTGGGGTGAAAATCATTTAAATTGACCATTGTGACAAAAATGAAACAAAAATGAAAATGTAACAAAAATGAAACACGTAACAAAAAACAACAAAAACGAAATATTAGGGTGTTTTCACAATATACACTGGTTATCACTTAGCAACACGAACATACACGCCCATTGGCAGCTGGCGAAATTCCGAGTTCCTCTAAGGATTACTATTAATTTATTAATCACGTACAAGATTTATGAAATAAACCACTTTATAATGCTTTTATTATTTTCTTTTATTAACTAAAGGAGATCATAAGAAACATTGTATCTCTTATAAACCTATTTTTTCTTTCGGGACAGTAAAAAAAGAGATCAAATACTTCAACATAATCAGTTACATTTTGAGAATATTATTCTTAAATAAAATTATCACAAACAAATTAATGATGCAAAAAGTAGACATTTGTCAACAGCATTCATTCATTTCGTTACAGACTTGGGAAAAAGGGTAAAAAATTTACAATCTATTTCTATATTAACTCTTTGCTAACACAATCGTATGCAGACATTATTAAGTTTTATATGCGCAGTATTGAAGCTACATACATCAAAGCTATGATGACTTTTTAATAATAACCTCATTTAAAAAAATAATATTAAGGATATCAAAATAATTGCAATAGGAATTTAAAATATCCAGACATTATATCTATTTACTGTAGTCATGAACATAATGAAAACAATTTTTATTGAAATAATAACAGTTTAAAGAACTATAGAGGTATCAAAAACTATTTAACAAAATAACAATATGAAACACCATTCACTTTCACTTGTAATGGTAACCGCTCATATTTAAATACATTATACATAACATAACATATATGACATAAGGGATAATACCACCTTGATTAAAACACCTAAAAGAAAACTTATAAGGAAACCATGGGTCACCAAAGGATTAATGCGGTGTATGAAAAACAGGGACAACCTTTACAAGAAATTAAAAAAGGACCCTGAAAATGAAGCACTCAAACTAACTTACAAACGCTACCGGAATTACTGTAACTCTCTTCTTAAAAAGGCGAAAAGAGATTATGAGAAACAAGAGATCGAGAAGGCGAAATATAATAAAAAAAAGCTGTGGGAAGCCATAAAAAATCTGACCGGCTCCAATAGGGTAGTAGATCGCTCATCCTGTCTTATCTCTCCCGGAAATCCGAAAAAAAAGTATTAACGACATCAACTATTTCTTCGCTAATATTGAACGAAACCTAGCTGAAGACATTATATTACGTGCTGGACACAGAAAATTTACTGAACCTGACGTCTTGTATCCATCCCCCATCAATTCATTTGTCATGCCACCTACGGATGAGGATGAAATTTTCCAGCTGATCCAAGGTTTAAGAGACAACTGTGCAGTAGGGCTCGACCAGATTTCTAGCATAATACTGAAGAGATATATACACATCCTTCCCCCCCCCCTCTATTACACATATATGCAACCTGTCTTTGTCTACGGGAATCTTTCCCTCAGCATTCAAAACAGCGCTCGTCAAACCCATTCACAAAAGTGGTGAGAGGGACTGTGTCAATAACTACAGGCCAATCTCCATCTTACCCACACTGTCTAAAATCTTGGAGCGCCTAATAAATAAGCGCTTAATCAATTTCCTGGAGGGAAATAATCTCCTTCCACGAGCGCAATTCGGATTTCGGCAAGGCAAGTCAACAAATAATGTGGTACATGAGCTTGTTAACTCAGTCATAACCAACTTGGATGAAAGAAGAAAATGCCTAACAATATTTCTCAATCTAGCGAAAGCATTTGACACAGTCCCAATCCCACACCTCATAACAAAGCTGGAAAAAATCGGTGTGAGAGGCTTACCTCTGCAGTTAATATCAAACTTTCTGTGTGGAAGAAAGCAGAGAGTTGGAATAGAGAATGCGATAAGTGAAGAGTTAATTGTCAAATTTGGTCTGCCCCAAGGTAGCATACTCAGCCCAACGCTGTTTTTGATATATGTCAACGATTTATGTCAGCTTCAGCTACACAATGGAAAAATATTCTCATTTGCCGACGTTATTGCACTATTCTTCAGTGGTAATAGTTGGAGGGAGGTTTTTGATTTTGCACAAAGAGGTTTTACTAAGTGCTGCCTCTGGTTACAAAAGAATGTGTTGACACTAAACACTGATAAAACAAAATACATAACCTTCACACTTAGGCCGAACCAAAGTCCCCCTTACTCCCTCTCCATCACAGCCCATGTTTGCAATTCTGAGCCAACTATTTGCAATTTTCCCGCTATTCAAAGAACAGACAAAATCAAATACCTCGGAATTATAATAGACCAAACTCTGACTTTCAAGCCACATATTGAGATACTTGTCACTAGGTTACGAAAGCTCATTTACATCTTCAAATCTCTTAAACACGTACCAGACTGCCGAATCATTAAGATGGTCTACCACGCTCTATGCCAATCACTTGTAGATTACTGCATCAGCTGATGGGGTGGTGCGGCTAAAACCCACCTAAAGGTTGAGGTTGAAAGAGCCCAACGGGCCATCCTAAAAGTCAGTGCAGGTCTCCCGTTCTGCTTTCCTACAGTGGAACTCTACAGAAAGTGGGACGTTCTAGCAGTGAGACAGTCTTTCATCGTACAAACTGTCCTAATGAAACACTCTCAATGTAAATACGATCCGGAGCTCCTAAAGACAAACGCAGGAAAGGTTCTGTCTGTCGAACCCAATCCTTCCATTCTGCCACCTCACACAATTTCTTCTGTTTCCTAGGACTATACATGTATAATAAACTGAACAATATCCTAAACTTCTATCCCTTATCTAAATCGAGCTTCAAATCCGTTCTTACAAAATATCTGAAAACTTTAGATTATGAAGCGACCGAAAACCTACTAAAGTCGCCCATATAATTATATTAATGTCGTCGAAGTCTTCACACTTTCTTCGCCTTATTTGGGTTTAAATGCAATTATATGTTAGTCCTAACTCACGCAACAGCAGGCACGTCCACAATCACTCACACACACTAACTCACACACACATTCCCACACAAAACACACACACACACACACACACACACACACACATACATACACACACACACACACACACACACATGCACACACAAAAGGCACGCGCCTGCACTAGCTCACACGCACAACTACACTTTTCATAGTACACACACTTATTGATGTGAAATTTGTAATTACTGCAGTTAATTTTAGTTACTTAATTATAATCTCCTTTCTGATTTGTATTCCTCAGATTGTTGCTTTATACGCGGGGGAGTCCTGGTGACCTGTAATACGGGTTCTTTAAACCTACATCAGGCAGCAGTCTCTCACAAGTTAGGCACCTGTCTGGCACTTTTGTAAACACTTAGCATTAAGAATACCTATTGTGAAGAGAGAATAAATGCATTCATTCATTCATTCATTCACTTGAACTATAAAAAAATTTTTACTTTAATGATACAGAATTAGTTGTTGAACTTTCAAGAATTTCAGGAAAATCTACTTTGAGGTCACAAGAAGACACATTTTGCCGCTTTGTATTGCTGATCATTTTCCTTAAATCACTAATCGCATAGTTTATTTTAACATCGGATAATATAGTCACAGCTCCCGCATTTTTTATATTTTCCAGTTATTTTTATGTTGATGATCGACATTTTTTTTATTTGTCACGGCGGCATAGGTGTGGTCTGCAACAACAGGCGTCATAATTTGCGTTGGATTGCTCCGCACTTTACGCTTAGAAGTTTTAGTAGTACCAATAGTAAGTGGCAAATCGAAAATATCTGAGGAGTCTGAATCACAGTCAACAGCACCAAAAATATCTATTGGTACAGTTGTTATATTTTTTGAAGAAACCGGTGGTGTTTTATTCTCGGACTTGGAGATAGCAGCAGACATGTTGGTAGTATGTGCTGTTCTTTTAAACGGTAAAGGCAGACAGTCATCTGAGTCGGATGTTAGCCGAGTTCGCTTTCTGGGGCGAGATTTTAGCAGACAATGTCTTTTAATGTTGAAACAGTCGCAAAAACCTCTCATGCTTGAGCCGTTACAAAAACGACTTAAAACTCGGTAATTTATTTCATTAGAGTGGTTTTCTGTTTCGACTTGTATTTGGTGAATCTTCATTGTTTTAGGAAAGGCACTAAGCTTTCGAAAACTGTTTGATTTTTTACTTTTTATCTCGATAATATCCAACTCATCAACACAAAAAAGATTGACAGTAGTATTTTCTTTCAGTAGAGAGTATGCTGTTGAGGTGTCTGAAACGTCCATTCCATGGGATACTTTAGCATACAAAAGTCGCTTGATGACTCCTCCTGTACCATCAGCAGCACTTTTCCCATGATAAGACTCTGAAAAGTTCCAAGTCCCTTTTTCAAAATTCAAGTCCTCAAGATATAATTTATACAGATAAAAATTCTTTTTCTGTTTATACTGAGTGGCGGGGCCATCCGAAAATACGTGTACAGTATTAATTTGCGGAATTTTTTTTGATATCAATCAAAATTGGTCTCAGATGTGTCCATATTGCTGCGGGTGAATGATCTGTTGAGTCAGATAGTGTGCTATATGCGCGAGGTTTTGAACTTTTAACGTATATGACACTTGTGTGTAATGATATTTGATTTTGCGTCCCAAAGCGGGCTGACTGTATTTGCCGATGCATTTTACATGCGTAATTTTCAGAAAAGTCGCAGTGAATCATAACCTCGTTGTGTTGAAGACTGCTTTTGAGATTTCTGTATACGTTATATTGGTGCCAAATATTAAAATAATGCTCTTTAAACTTTGTAAGTTTTTTTTTTCAAAAAGATTTACAAGAATCTCCAGCTTTTCTGTTTTTGATTCAGTTACCACTTTCTTAGTTTTCTTAGTCTCATAATTTTTTTCATACTCAACGTCTTTCATGATCCACTCTACCCAGGTAACGTTATCATATATTTAGCTTTAGTGAAATTGTAGGTTGGAGACGTCGTTTTGCAAATATTACATTCAGAATACATACATTCTTTTGATTTTGTGACGCATACTGTTTCTTCCAATATATTTATTAATTTCATACCCGGATCAAAGATCTTCAGCTTTTTTAGTGCCATAAATTTGAACTCAAAGTTTGCATGAATTTTGCAAACACATGTTTCACGATTTGACAGTCGAGGTGTAACTCTACATAAAAAGGTCTGTGTCTACGAAAAGTGGCAATAGACACGTTAATACCAGTATCTTCCCTAAATTTTTTACGTAAATTTGTCATGCTGTCAAGAAGAAACCGTTTCTGACGTTTCTGTTTTTTTAAAGTCTTAGTTTCTTTCTTTCCCGCCGTAGCTCGGCTTATATCATCACGCAGGTACAAGTTCCGAATTTTTTTCACTAATTCACTGTTTCTCCTGGAGCCAAATTTTGCATAATTGCGGATTCTACTTTTTAAACCGATGACCCATCTCAATCGCGAATGCATTCTATACTTTCTCAAAAAATATTCCTTAAAATCTTCTTCGCCTTTTTGTTATTCTTGTATTCTTGCTTTATTGATTGTCATAACGAGGTTTTCTAGAGGAACTTTTTTAATTTTCATTTTATCTTCGTTTGAAGGAGTAGTCATAGTTTTGACGAATGCTTTTGATTTTGAATTTGGCGTTTGAGGCTTTGCGTGAATTATAAGATTTTCCTGCTCTGAGGCAGACATCTGACAATTAAAAAGGATTTTTTGTCGATAGATTTTCTTTTTTAGTGCTTGTATTTGTTTTCTTTGTGTTTGAATTATATGTTTTTGTTTTTCATTTTCTTTGTTTAGCCTCTTATAGTATCTTTGATATCCTTTTATATTCTTTTTAGTTTTAACTTGTGACTTATATTTTTTCATTTGATTTTTCTTCAGCTTTCTCCAGTTACTTCTTCATATAGACTTTTGGTTTTCTGTTAGTTTAGAAACTGACACATATTCATTTTTAATTCTGTTCAAATTTTTAAACGAAATTCTTCAAACTTTTCTGGGTTTAATTCTTTAAGACGTTGCCTATATAGCCGTTGACGTTCAGCTGCTGTCATTTGCGTCCTAAAAGGATAAAAAAATATTTTGATCACAAACAGGCACAGAAACAACTAAAGATAGAACTGGACTGGACATACAATCAAACTAGGTTAAGGAAAAAATATAAACAGGTAGCAGACAATCAAATAGACTAGAAAACAAAACGACATGTTCAAGTAAGCGTGTTTCACCATCAACCTTGTCATTTTTTTTCCATCAGGTGAGACTAGTGTCAATCGTGACCTAAAGAAACCTGTCAACAGTGTAACATTCATTAAATTATCAGTGACCGAGGCTACTTTAGTTGCACTTGGTTACGGACGCTTCTAACACGGGCAAACAAATATTAGTGTCATTACTGATAGGCTATGAAATAAACAACTAATGGACAAACAAATGACAGTGATACCAACAAACAGGAATATAAGAAAATGGAACGACATATTGAAAGAAAATAATTAAATTTCAAGTACATACCTACCTACAGAAATTTATTTATTTATTGAACTTTACTGCACAAAAATTAAAAAGACATTTAAATCACCCTCTAAAATTAATACCCCATAACTTAATTTTTTTTAATAAAATAATTGCTTATCAATATAAACCAGCAATGTGATTGCGGCTTTAGTTCATTTTTGTTATATCATTTTTGTAACGTAACCAAAAATTGTAACAAATCATAACAAAAATGATGAACCACCGTACTTTGAAAGTAATGCCAAAATGTTTAAGCCAAACAGAAACCTTAATAAATTCTAACAACCTTGCATTTCAATGAAGGTCAGTAGTAACCTTTTTTAAATAATCGATGAAATATAAGTACTCACTTACCTGCGTTGTTTGTTAAACTAAACAAAACTGATAATTTAAAATTGGAATTTTACTCGTCGATAAAAAAATACGCGTCGTCCACTTTTTTCGCTGGAGAACAAAATGGCCGACACATGTTCGTTTCTTGTATGTCATTGGCTCGTTAGAAAAGCAGTGCTGCCGTTTATTAATCACCAATTATTGCCAAATTTTACTGTTAGAAAAGTGAACAACAAAAATGAACAAAATAATGGACATTGATATTTTACCAAAATTATAATATTAAAAATAATTCAAATAAAATAATTTTTATTTAAATCAATGGAAATTTATTATGTTTTAGCAGAAAATTCACCAATAATTAATAAATGTAGCTAGTGTATTCATTTTCATGATTTTTGTAACGTAGGTAGTGAAGAGGACAAATTATTTTGTATGGATAATACTCGACTTGGTTACAAAAAAAGGAATAGTATTTTTCTACTATTGGTAATTAATATATAAAGCAGTATTATAAAGCTAGATAATATAGCAAAGGACAATAATTAAGCACTTTTCACATATTTAAATGAATTTTATCATAAAATAATGCCCGTAGACAAATTATTTTATAAAAATGGTCATTTTAAATGATTTTCACCCCTTGCCATTTTTAAGGTACTGGAGAGCCATTCTAATTTCGCTCTGACTGACTTCGGGAATATTATTGGAATAGTAATAAGAATTGCTCCTGGATCGTTTCGTACACTTGCGTGTGGCTATGACGTGTACAGCTGCCTATAGAACCTGTCAATCTCACTCAAAATCTCAGGTGTCCTGGAAACAATGCTGTCACACTCGGTCATCAGATTTGACAGTTGGTTCATTTTGGCAGACAGATCTCTGGCAAAGACTTTGGAGTACTGAATCCGTTTAATTGTTTCTTCAATACGAGCTGTATTGAAGTTGCGTAATTCCCGCCGCATTTATATAGAGATCTGTCTGTTCAGTTGCCTGTATGCTGTCAAATCTGTTGAAGACTGCAGCTTAATTTCCCGTCTAAGACATGAGATTAAGAGTGTGGTCGGAGAGTTTTCGTATTCTTCTTCGGCGGGTCTCGCAGAACTTAACTCCGACCACATGGGCAGTTTCCACGAGCTTGTATTCAAATCGTCCACTGTATTTCAGTCTTCTAGGCACTGAAAACGGTTTTGTAATTCGATCTGAAAGTTTTCGTGACCCTGGATTAGCGCTCGAAGAGGACAGAGCGTTGGCTTCATTAGACGAGACCTCTAGAACTTAATGTTTAGGTTTAGTGTAACTCTCTTTAGCGTAACCTCTAACCATTCGGTGATTGCTGCCAGTTTTCACCCTTGCGGTCACTGAGACGTCACTGAACAATTGGTGTCTCGTCGTAATAATGAAGTCAATCTAATTTTTATCGAACTGCCGGGGCTCGACGTGGACGTGCCACTTCTTGTGGGGTCGTTTCTGAATAGTTCATCATAAAGAATCCCTCTTTTTTCTTGAAGTCGGCCAGCTGCTGACCCTTGTTTTTCGTTGTCCTATTCCAAATTTCCCTACCTTCAGACCAGCGCTTTCTTTTTAACTAGCTTTGCGTTGAAGTACCCATCAACTCCGTATAGTGGGTTTTGGAGATATGCATGGCTCCAGAGATATCCTCATACATTTAGAATGGTGCGTCAACCTTTATGGCCTTCAGCAAATACTGTTTGTTGATTCTGAGTATCAGGTAGGCAACCCTTGCCAACACACTCCCAATATTTACACGTTGTAAATAGTTGACGTGAGACTTGTGGACGATAAATCCGATACCTCCTTGGGACAGATGGTCGCCCTCCCGTTGGTAGAACAAGCTGCCGGATTCAAGGATTACCAGGTCCTCCACTTCTCACCTCGGATAATCCTATAATATGCCAGCGCAACTTGTCTACCTCTTCTTCCAGTTCCAGGATCTTCTCGTCAGTACTCAGAGTGCGGGCGTTATATGTTGTCGTTGCTCACGGGGGGATGTTCGCCACAGTTGTGACGCTTGGCGAGCGGGTTGGCAACCAAAAATTGTACAATTGCTGTTATCAGAAAGATGCTGCTGCCCATCTTCTGCCTGCCTCCCTCTGTCACCTATTACGACACACACGGGAAGTGTATATTCTCTTAGTAGTGAATATTCTCAACCACAAATACACGGAAA